CTGGCTTTGAGTATTAGAACTTTTCATTACAGAAAGACCCATCCTCTGTTTCTCCCAGTTCTTTCATACTTGGCACACTACCCATGCCTACAAACTCCCTATCTTGCCCACAGTCTGTCCAAACAAGACCATTTAATGCCTATTTTCACTACAAGATAGCCCTTTCTAGTTTCAGTCTTTTTCAGCTGCAAGTCACTTCCACCCAAACCTCTCAAGAAGGTTAAACTTTGAAGAAAGCATTTTAACCCAAGCACTAAACTACCTTCAGGGTTTTATCATCTTCCTCCTATTGAGAGAACATGACCCAACTTGTTCTTTTAACTCTCAAACCACAGAGTAGAAAATACTGTTTCCCCCAGCTGCTCCATCTCTGCAACCAGCAGAAGAAACACGATGAGATACAGACACATCACTCACTTTTTAGAAAAGTGTCGGTGACTTTAGGATTTATCAATGCATGGTAAGCACAGCGTAGGACTGCTCATGATTCTCTCAACTGAACGATTAAAGCAGGGAAACTTGCACCACACTCCCCTTTTATGTAACCCAAAAATAACTCAAGACAACTGTAAGGACAGGCGACTCCCATCAGCAACACTCATTTCAAAACACACAGACTAACCTGTTCCTCCATCTGCCCCATGGGGTGACATGGAGGAGGTGAAAGCCAAGTCAGTGCTCTCTGGTATTTAGAAACGTAAACACACATCAGGTGTGCTACAACTTTTTTTTAATCTTGTCATTCCCGTATTTCTTAAAATGCAGCTTTTTTACTCCCGCTGCTGCCACCCCAGCAAAAATAACTACTCTCCTCCTCATTCCATTTCAAGGAATTCTGAAGAAGCAAGCAATACAGACCGATTAAACACAATTTTAGCTGCAAGTAAACACTTCCCATTTCCTCTGACAATACCTTACAGAGCAGAAGGGCACAATCTGTTCTGCAGTCACACCTCAAATAAAAGATGAGAAGGGGCTTGGGCTTGCAGAAAGGAGGCAGAGAAGAAGTGAGCAGAACAGACTATTTTCTTTTCAAGGAAAGAGCAATCTCTAGTTAGAAGAAAATGAAACTCCTTTCATAAGCTCGAGTTTCCAAAAGATTAATAAAAGTTTTCCTAATATACATAAGCAAGCAATTGGGAATTCTGAACTTCAGGAATTTATTTCTACTTTAAGGTAAAAGGCAAAATGGAACTTAAGCAAAAAATTAAGCATAATGCAAGCCTAAGAGGAAATCTGCATCTCTAAACCAGCACAGAAGAGGGGAGCGGGGAGCTCAGCAACTGCCTGGTAAGCATAGTCACAGCAATAGCTAATCTCAACATTTTTAAAGCAATCCTAAAATCTGAAGCAACCACACGTAAAGTTCAGCAATTAGTTCTCCTGAGGAAGGCTGCTAGAGGTTCACTTAAGTTCAGCCTCCCTTCTTGGTTTTAATACTTTGAGTTACTCACTTTCTCATGAAATATAAACAGTGGCAACAAAATGAGATTTTTCATTTCTACCATTTTAAAATCGACAACACATTTCCAAACCAGCAGCTCCAGCAGAATTCATGGGAGTAAGGTCACGCTTTGATAATGCTTTGCCTTCTGCAGCACCACTAGGCAAAGGTATTTCCCCCATGTGCCCCCGGTGCCAGAGCACATGCCCCCCCTCAATGCTGCTCTTTAGAAAGAGCAATCCTTTGCAGGTCCATCTTGCAATTTGATCAGAGCCCTTGCAAAGAACAGTCTGCAAATCTGGCTGCTGACAGGGCTGGAGGAAGTAAGGGGAAAAGTTTGCAACACAGCCACAAGCACCCCCTGGTTGCTGTAAGAACACCTTAAACCAGTTTTGCGCACACAGGCATGCTGCGTCTCACGAAACACTTGCAAATCTCAATTATAACAGAATTATACACTAAAGATGTGGAAAGGGACATCCGCAGACACCAGGTTCAGACACACTTCATATACAGCTGCATAAGCCAGGCTATGCTCCTAACTGAAAGGAAACAAACACTTCATATGAATATGTGTTTACAAACCAGAACAACAAGCTGTGTTATGAAGTGGAATATAGAGAGCAAGCTTTTATTTGTATTCTGGTTGCTCATTTAAATGAATATTTCAATTTTCCTGACCATACAAACTGGGTCACTACCACAACAGGTTGGAGGGCAACTTGACAGTAATTCAGCCCCTTAT